TCCTGTAATAGTTGTCAGCAGTTACTGAAAATGTGGATCACAGTCCTTTAAATTCACTGAGAGAAAAATGAAGTGGCGAACGCATGCCTGGATTTCGGCTGGAGATTTCTACCCTGTGTTCTCAGAGTGAATTCTCCAAATAAGCCACACATTATTAATGCCGTTGCTCTTACAGATGAGCAAACTGAGTGCCAGAGAGGTCAGCTGACCGGTGCTGTGCCAAATGCTAACAAGCGGGCTTTTGATCCGACTCTAGATTAAGGCCTTCTCGATGGTAAGCACCCGAAAGCCATCTCTCCCTGCACTCAGCAGCGTGGTCAAGACTGAAGGTCCCATAAGGAAGGTGTGACCAGGAGAACCCATCCCATCCTCCAGACACCACTTAGGGGTTGGGTGTTGTTAGAGAAAGTGTGCCAGCGGATGACATTTTCTTGCTAGATCTTTGCTGTAAGCTTCGTTTGTTTGCTTGTTTTCCTCTCAAATGACTGGAACTGTCAGGGGCGGGCTGGTCAGCTGCTTGACTGACAGCTGTCAGAAAACCCCTTTTCAGCGGTTGCAAAGGCACCCAGCCAGGGGATGACTCCAGGACCATAAGGAACTGAGTCTGGAGGGGGATCAATGCCACTATCTCCATGGCTCTCAAATCTAGTGGGGCTGGCAATGACACCGGTACCATCCCACTAGGGATGGCGGCAATGACAGCTCCAGGTCCATTGTCACGGCAATCATGAACTACCATTCAGCTGGCTAGTGCGTGTGTCATTCCTCCAGCTGTCATCACCATAGCTCTGTTCCGACCATCTGAAGCTGGTCGTGGAGGCTCCTGTCTAGCCACAGGTGCCTGTGGAAGGTTTCCTTCCAACAGTATAAACCAGCAGGAGCATTCACAGCCATTACCCCCAAGTTTTGCTTTGGAAAAAGAAAAAAAAAAAAAGTCATTTATTAAGAGCCATTTCAGGCACTCTGAATCAACTCCTGAAAATATTTTTTCAACCCTGACAGCATTAGATGATCAGATCAGCCACTCCAGAAATCAACTAAAACCCTTAGTCAAGTTGGGCATTGACAGGCCCAGGATGATCACAGAACTCATGACGATGTGTGTGGTTGTAGACAGAGGGCTGTGACCGGCTGTGTAAGCCGCCTGCCTCTCACTCTCCTAACCAGATCTTCCTCCTGAACAACCCTACTGCGCCATAACACTAGGCATTCACAGGGCCTCTTCTGAGTGGTCCCATCTCCTGCCTTTTGGTCTTTATCGTGGATAAAGTGAGTTGAGTGGGCAGCTCAAAAAGCAGACTACTCTCTCAGCTGCCAGCCTTAAGCTCGCCCCAGGAGTAGCGAGAGGGCAGCAGATGAGTTCCCGAGAATGGCCCTAAACAGACACTGGAGAAGACTATGAAGGAATGCAGAAGTGTCTCTGTGGAGAACAGAGACTCCGGAGGCTGCAGAAGGCCAAGGGTGCAAAGAGAGAAGATGGTGTAAGGGGAAGACTAAGGGAAGCCGAGAGAGGGAGGTATGCAAGCTCCGGCTACCACAGCCCAAATCCAGACAGGCAGTTTCTCTGGCTACTGAGGTGCGCTAGAGCTGAATGCAGAGAAAGAGCAGAAGCTCCCAACCCCCTACGCGCAGAGTGGCTGGCACGAAGGGGGCTGAAGTTTAACAGCCGCACTCTCCACCCAAAGATGGAGAAAAGAACCCTTGGCACACTGGCGACGACTGTAATCATAATTCATCATTCCCAGGCCTGGCTCAGCCTGGAAATGCTGAGTTTGTGATAAAGAGTTTGGAGGGGGAGAAAAACCACATAATAAAATTAATAAGGGCAGACTCCTTGGGTTTAATCTTCATACAGTCTTGAAAAATTCATAGCCTTAGTTAACAGCAACAACCATTTCAGCGTGGGCTAGACAGCAAATCATCCCCAGCAAGGCTGGATCTAGGTGGTAGGGCTCCCTGGCAGACTTCTGGTCCACACGGCTTTGCTGATGCAGCCGCTTCTGCATGATGCTCTGTATAGTTTTTTTTTTTTTTTTTGTTTTGTTTTGTTTTTTGTTTTTTGGGATTTTTTTAAATTTATAGTTTAAAGTTAAAATTAGCAAAGAGTTTTTTACAGCAGCACAAAAGCCATATGCATCTTTCTGTCACTCTCTTCAAATACTGCCTGCATTTTGCTTTCACGGTCTTTGCTTGACTAGCAAGTAGGCTTGGATGCAGGGAAGAAAAGAAAAGACAGCCAAACGTGGAGATTATTACAAAACTATATGAGATATTTTAAAGTCTTTGAAGCATTATTTGGCTTCTCTTCCCACTTCCACGATGAACGGACAAAGAGGTGGAAATGCTGATACTTTCGAGTGTTTTGCTCTGTCTGCCTCCCTTGTTCAGCCATGTCCTATTTATCAATGTCTGCACACGTGCGGAGAAATGGAAACAGCGTGCTCTCTACGGGCCACAAATGAAGCTTCCTTTTATCTGGCATTGCGTAGCCTCTAGAAGCGTGTTTCTAATGGAAGCAATCACTCACTGGTAGTTTAGTCTTTGTTGTTTCTGTTTGGAAATACTCTCCCCCAAAGAGTCAGACACCTCTTCCATTTTTCAACAATGGATTTAAAAAAAAATAGCATCAAATACATACCTGGCAATTGTGAGACAGATTGCTTTCACTGTTATTAATGTTTTTAAGAAAAATAAGTCACCATAGGAAGAAAGCAACCCTTTAAATCATCTCTCTCCTGTAAGCACCCTTGCAAATGCTTCTGCTCTCTCAGGGGCAAACCACCTCACACTACCCTCGTCATGAAGGTTGGCCCACTGCAGCTCCCAGGGACTGAATGCAATTCAGGTTAGTGCCTCATTATCCCAAAACATACTCTCCATAGGAAATGTGCTTGGATAAATTCTGTACACACATCACTTTATCAGAGCCTCATTTTATCCTCCCCATTTAGCAAATCTTTTGCTAAAGCGTGGCTGGAAAAATGTGAAAGGGCACTGACTTTAACTAACCCCTTTGGCCTATTCAGTCTTGTCTCAGAAGAGTGAGGGTGGACAGGGCCAGGGAGTAACACCCACAGAGAGGACCAGCAAGACACTTTACTGAACACAGAGTATTTTCACTCTGCATAATCCAGACTCATATTAGGGAGCTGGTTTGTAAGATTCATCAGTAAAGAAAGATAGGTTTGCAAAAGTAGGAGTGGCAAATAGAATAAACTAGAATAGAATTCTGAAAAATGCCCCCACTTCTCACTGTTATTAAAAATTTAGTGAAGAAGAAGAAGAAGAAGAAGAAGAAGAAGAAGAAGAAGAAGAAGA